TCGTGAGCCTGAGTCTCGTCCTCCGTCGCCTGAGTCTAGTCCTGCGTCTTCTGAGTCTCGTCCAGAGTCGCCTGTCCGCACTGCACGCACTGGTCGCCGTGCTCCACGTGAGCGTCCTCCTCCTGTCCTAGGCACTCACTACATGACACTGCGTCAGTCCACTGCTCAACAGCGCGTCCCTCTGCCGTCTCCTCCTGCGTCCTCTCTTCCTGACGGTGCCGACCCGCCGTCAGACCTTACTCGTGCTGCCAGTCCTACTGTCACGCGTCTCCTTGCCACTGTTGTCACTGACCCTACCTTTGAGTCCTCTGCTGCGTCTGCTCTAGTCGCTGAGCTTGTTGACTTTGCTGCCGCCTGTCGTCTAGACTACGCCGCTAGCCTTGTTGCTGAGTCTGAGTCTGTCTGTCCTCCGTCTGTCGGGGGTGAGTGTGCTCTTGGCACGGACGTCCTTGAGGACAGACAGGAGGAGTTTGAGTGCTTTGCTGCTGCTTTACCCCATCTCGTGTCCATGCTAATTGCCCCTGAGGGAGACCCGGATGCACCAGACATCCCGACCCCACGCTCCTACGCAGAGGCGATGGAGGGTGAGTACTCCTCTCAGTGGCAGACAGCCATGGACGCAGAGATGGCTTCCTGGAAGTCCACAGGCACCTACGTCGACGAGGTTCCCCCACCTGGGGCGAACATCGTCAGTGGCATGTGGATTTTCAGGGTGAAGCGGCCGCCGGGTTCTCCGCCTGCCTTCAAGGCGCGTTATGTTGCACGAGGCTTCAGTCAGCGAGAGGGAGTTGACTTCTTCCAGACCTTCTCCCCGACCCCGAAGATGACCACTCTTCGGGTTCTGCTGCACGTCGCCGCTCAGCGTGACTACGAGCTCCACTGCCTTGACTTCAGCACTGCCTTCCTACAGGGCACCCTGCACGAGGAGATCTGGCTGCACCGCCCACCTGGCTTCACTGGGTCGTTCCCTCCTGGTACCCAGTGGAGCCTCCGGCGGCCGGTCTACGGTCTCCGCCAGGCGCCACGTGAGTGGCACGACACACTGAGGACTACTCTTGCTGCTCTTGGGTTTGCTCCTTCTACTGCTGACCCGTCGCTGTTTCTACGCACCGACACCACTCTGCCGCCGTTCTACGTTCTAGTGTACGTAGACGACTTGGTCTTTGCTACTTCTGACACTGAGGCACTCGCCCACGTGAAGTCGGAGCTGCAGAAGAGACACACGTGCACAGACCTGGGTGAGCTGACAAGCTATCTTGGCTTGCGGATCACCCGGGACAGAGCACAGCGCACCATCACCTTGACTCAGTCACACATGGTGCAGCAGGTCCTTCAGCGCTTCCGCTTCACGTACTCCTCGCCTCAGCCCACTCCTCTGCCTACCGGTCACTCGCTCTCAGCTCTGCCTTCGGATGAGTCCGTAGAGCCGAGTGGCCCGTATCCAGAGCTTGTGGGCTGCCTCATGTACCTGATGACCTGCACACGACCTGACCTAGCCTACCCTCTTAGCATCCTAGCACGCTATGTCGCTCCTGGCCGTCACCGGAAGGAGCACATGGATGCAGCTAAGAGGGTGTTGCGCTACTTGTGCAGTACGTCGGGCATGGGGCTTGTGCTTGGAGGACGGGCTCGAGTTGTCCTCACTGGCCACTCAAACGCTTCTTGGGCTGACGACCAGGCTACGCAGCGGTCGTCTCAGGGTTACACCTTCAGCCTTGGCTCTGGCTCTGTTTCCTGGCGTTCTACTCGCTCTTCCTCTGTTCTCAGCTCCAGTTGTGAGGCTGAGATCTACGCCACAGCCATGGCTGCCCAGGAGCTACGCTGGCTCACCTACTTGCTGACCGACCTCGGAGAGCAGCCTCGTTCTCCTCCAGTGCTGTACGTCGACAACAAGGCAGCCATTGCCTTGTGTGAGGAGCACAGACTGGAGCACAGAACGAAGCACATCGCTCTGCGCTGCTTCCTCGCTCGAGAGCTGCAGCAGCGTGGTCAGCTCCGTCTGCGTTACGTGGCCACTCGGGCCAACACTGCTGACGTGTTCACCAAGGCACTTCAGCCTTGTGACCATCAGCGCTTCTGTACTGTTCTAGGCCTTGTGCCTACTCTCCCTCACTTGCTCACGTCTTGACTTTGCTTGTACTGTGATCTCTATATATATACCTGCATGCTTTCACTTGCTAGGTTGTGATCACTGTACCTCTTGTCTTTTAATCAAACTGCATGTGAACTGGTCTTGTGACCACTTGCTTGTGCTCGGAATTTGTGTGGTATCCTTGAGATCCACCCTGAGCTTGCTTTGCTTTTCTTGACTGGTCTTGTGACCTCTTGTTCTCCCCCACTTTGCCTATGGGGGTGTGTCAAACTTATATGCTATAGCTTGTTTAGGCTGTAGTGGGTTAGACAATATGGGGTACAACACTTCAGGGTTTCACTACTTGTACCCAACTTCCTGCTAGTTCAATCATTCCTGTTTCTTACATTCTAACATCTACTGGTCCTGCTCCTCCCTTAGAGTGTCCACAGCCTGTCCAGTCGCGGTCACAGTTACAGCCCGCCTCCCCCCTACCTGCTCCTTCTCCCTACACTGGTCCTACTGGAGGTCTTGCTGAGCGTCGTGAGCCTGCGTCTCGTCCTGCGTCGCCTGTTCGTGCTGCTCGCACTAGTGGTCGTGCTTCGCGTCCGCGTCCTCCTGCGGTCCCAGGCACACACCAGATGGCACTGCGTCCTTCCACTGCTCCTCTGCGTGTCCCGTTGCCGTCTCCTCCAGAGTCCTCTCTTCCTGTTCTTGCTGACCCGGAGTCTGACTCTCTTCGTGCTGCCAGTCCTACTGTCACGCGTCTCCTGGCTACTGTTGTCACTGACCCTTCCTTTGAGTCCACTGCTGCGTCTACCCTAGTTGCTGAGCTTGTCGACTTTGCTGCTCGCTGTCGTCTCGACTACTCTGCTAGTCTTGTTGCTGAGTCTGAGTCTGTCTGTCCTCAGTCCGTCGGGGGTGAGTGTGCTCTTAGCACGGACGTCCTTGAGGACAGGCAGGAGGAGTTCCAGTATTTTGCTGCTGCTTTGCCTCATCTCGTGTCCACGCTGATTGCCCCTGAGGGAGACCCGGATGCACCAGACATCCCGACTCCTCGATCGTACGCTGAGGCGATCGAGGGTCCCTACTCCTCACAGTGGCAGTCAGCCATGGACGCAGAGATGGCTTCCTGGAAGTCCACAGGCACCTACGTCGACGAGGTTCCCCCACCTGGGGCGAACATCGTCAGTGGCATGTGGATTTTCAGGGTGAAGCGGCCGCCGGGTTCTCCGCCTGTCTTCAAGGCGCGTTACGTGGCTCGAGGCTTCAGTCAGCGGCAGGGAGTTGACTACTTTCAGACCTTCTCTCCCACCCCGAAGATGACCACTCTTCGGGTGCTGCTGCACATAGCCGCTCAGCGCGACTACGAGCTTCACTCTCTTGACTTCAGCACAGCTTTCCTGCAGGGCAGCCTGCACGAGGAGATCTGGCTGCGCCGCCCACCTGGCTTCACTGGGTCGTTTCCTCCTGGTGCCCAGTGGAGCCTCCGGCGGCCAGTCTACGGTCTCCGCCAGGCGCCTCGTGAGTGGCACGACACACTGAGGACTACACTTGCGGCTCTTGGGTTTGCTCCTTCTACAGCCGACCCGTCCCTGTTTCTGCGCACCGACACCTCTTTGCCGCCGTTCTACATCCTCGTGTACGTCGACGACTTGGTCTTTGCCACTGCTGACACTGCTGGACTCGCCCACGTGAAGTCCGAGCTGCAGAAGAGACACACGTGCACAGACCTGGGTGAACTGCGCAGCTACCTTGGCTTGCAGATCACCCGGGACAGAGCACATCGCACCATTACCCTGACTCAGTCACACATGGTGCAGCAGGTTCTTCAGTGCTTCGACTTCACGTACTCCTCGCCTCAGGCCACTCTTCTGTCTACTCGCCACTCGCTCTCAGCTCTGCCTTCGGATGAGTCCGTAGAGCCGAGTGGCCCGTACCCAGAGCTTGTTGGCTGCCTCATGTACCTGATGACCTGCACACGACCTGACCTTGCATACCCTCTTAGCATCTTGGCACGCTATGTTGCTTCTGGGAGACACCGACCAGAGCACATGGCTGCAGCGAAGAGGGTGTTGCGCTACTAATGCAGTACGTCGGGCATGAGGCTAGTGCTTGGAGGGCGACGTCGAGTGGTCCTCACAGGTCACGCATACGCTTCTTGGGCTGACGACCAGGCTACGCAGCGGTCGTCACAGGGTTACACCTTCAGCCTTGGTTCCGGCTCTGTTTCGTGGCGGTCTACCCGCTCGTCTTCTGTTCTCGGCTCCAGCTGTGAGGCTGAGATCTACGCGGGGGCCATGGCTGCACAGGAGCTACGCTGGCTCACCTACCTGCTGACTGACCTAGGAGAGCCGCCTCGTTCTCCTCCAGTTCTGTACGTAGACAACAAGGCCATGCTGGCCTTGTGTCGGGAGCACAGACTGGAGCACAGAACGAAGCACATTGCTCTTCGCTACTTCCTTGCTCGTGAGCTGCAGCAGCGTGGTCAGCTGCGCCTTGCTTACGTGGCCTGTGAGGCCAACACTGCTGATATCTTTACCAAGGCACTTCCGCCTGGTGATCATCAGCGCTTCTGTACGATGCTAGGTCTTGTGCCTACTTGGCCTCACTTGCTCACTTCTTGACCTTGCTGTACTGTGATCTTTCTATACCTGCACTTGCCTGTTTACCTTTATATATGATCTTGCATGTGAACTGGCCTTTTGGCCTTGCTCTTGTGCTCGGATTGTGTGGTGACGTTGTGATCCACCCTGAGCTTGCTTTGCTTTGCTTGACTGGTCTTGTGACCTCTTGTTCTCCCCCACTTTGCCTATGGGGGTGTGTCAAACTTATATGCTATAGTCTGTGTAGGCTGTAGTGGGGTAGACTATATGGGGTACAACATTTCTAGGTTTTCCTACTTGTACCCACCTGCTTGCTAGTTCATTCATTCCTCATTCTTCACAGCGTCAAGAGGCAAATTGACGCCGCGCGCTTTGAGTTTGGGGCCGCCGACACAGCAGTCCCCCCAGAAGGCGAGGTTCTCGATCATGACACGGGCGATCAGATCGTCGTGTTCGCGCTCGTCGCCGTCCTCAGGCGGCGACCTCAGCACAGCGCCATGTAGGTCCTTCGTCACCGTGTCGGCGACCTCTTCTACGCCGACCTTCCGGGACGACGCCCGTTGAATCACCACCTCGATGACGCTCTTACATCTCTTCGCGAACTCTTTGGACGCTCCGCGCACCGTCGCTGCCGCCCCCCCTTCGCCGGCCGCTACTTCCGCCGTGGCATTGGTCTCCAAAAAACACCACACCGCGCATGCAGTACCAGCGAGGATCTCGGACAACCGCTCCGACCCGATGCTCGGAATGGGCGTCACTTTCGCAGCCACAGGTGCGAAGGCGGCACACATCGAAACACGTGCGATCATGTCGCTCGCCACTTTGTTCTTCGCGGCCTTCTCGGGCTCGGTCGACTCCAGAAGGTCGCCGAACCACACCGCCGGGCGAAGAGCCAACATGAGAGCTGCGCGATTGGCGTCGGTTATCCTGTTGTATTCCGCGACCACCTCTTGGAACCTGCGAAACATAGCAGGAAGACCCACCGTCACCGACCGACCCACGCGTACCGACCGAAATGAGCACCTAATTGAGCATTCGCCAAGCTTACCTGTCGCGGAAGACGTTCGCCCCTCGGCTCCACATGACCGTCCACATGCCCCCCGGAATCAATCGCGCCACATTCCAGTCCGCCTTATACTGCGCCATCACATCCTCGTTGACCCCACCGAACTCGTCAAGAATGACGTCGCTGACGAAGCCGTCGAACGATGAAACGGCGACAGCGATGCAGTAGGCGGCCTCGGACTTGTCCATTGACCGGCAGATGAAACGGCTCTTCTTCCCAAACTTCATCTCCGACGTGGCCAGCCCCGTTGAAGCGTCAACGCGGACGCCTGAACCCTTCTGACCCTGCGCGGCCGCTTTGGACATCCCCTTGGAAGAGCCGGCCTTCGTCGGGCCGCCCTTCGCCTTGTCCTTGCCCTTGCGCTTCTGCTTCCCGTCGCCGACCTCACCGGTTGTGGCCGGGGGGGATTTGGCGCCAGCCGCGATATGGTCCTCCGCAGGAGCAGTCGATGCGGCGAGAGTACCCTGTTGCGCTCCCACAGTGGGAGCTGCTGCTTGTAGTTTTTCCCGCATGACCTCGATTTCCCGGTCCGGCATCACGATGCTGGCGAGGATCTCTTCGTCCACCCCGCCGGCCTCTTCCACCACTCTCCACACAGCCGCCTCCACCGTTGAGGCACTCGGCCCTGCAGTCGCCGCCGTGACGTTCGCTGCCTCTGCTCCTTGGTCGACCGCCAGGTTGCTGCGAGTCGGAGGAATTGCTGGGGTTTTCTGACCCTGATCCTCGAGCCATTTCAGATACTCGTCGAACGATGGCTTTCGAGCGATTAGAGCCTCGACCGCCCGAGACTCAACGGCCTTTGGGATCGGGATTGGTTCCGCGGCGACCATGTGTGAGAGTACGACGGCTTATGCCAGCTATGCTTGCTTGCCTTTACTTTATTATGCTATTTCTAGCATAGGATAATTATATGCATGCATGAATTGCTTGATTTCCTAGGCTAGGTGCTTTCCTATATTTTATTATAGTTATAGCACCGAGCTAGGTTGCGTGCACCGAATTCTGGCTTTTCGGTTGCCACCGAATTGCCTTCTACCGAATTTCGGGAAGGATCTGTTCGGGACGCTTCGCGACCCGCAGAACCTTCGCGTAACACCTGGTTACGGGGCCTTGTGTTGAGCCTATATATAGCCTGGTGTTGTACCCAGGTGATCATTCAATTCACATTCTCTTTTCTGAGCTCGATCCTAGATCCTCACACTTGGTAATCAGAGCCCGTTTACACGCGAAGTTCTTTCGACCGCTACAAACCAGTCTTCAAAAAACCGCGGGGGCGACGCAGTTAAACATCGATTTCGGGTACGTAAAACCGGTTCCGTGTTTTTCGCTCCCCCTCGATTCGATTTTTCGGACGCGTTGATGTCAGGCATGGAAGGCCAAGGCGACAACTACGCGACCACGAGCGACATCGCGAGCCTCCGCACCGACATGGAGCAGACGCAGGCGACGCTTCGTCGACTCGAGGCTTTTCTGACAAGCCAACCAGGGTTCGCCACCGCAGCAGCAGCGACCGCAGCGACTGCAGCACCAACAACTCCAGCAGCAGTGGCAACACCGACATTTCACGGACCGATGGCACCACTGTCGCCGAACCTCGAAGCAGCACGACCGAGGCTCCCTGAGGCGTTCAATCCAAGCGCGAAGGGATCCGACGTCCGGCGATTTGTGGCCACCCTCGAAATTTACTTCGAGGCCATCGGCTGTTCGACCCCGCAACACGACGCAGCTAGGATTCGGCTCGCAGCGACACTGTTACGTGGACCGGCTCTCGAATGGATTTACTACACCGACGTAGCCCGCGGGGAGAAAACGTGGCAGCAGTTTCGGGCAGATTTAATCGAGCGTTTCGAACCAATTAATACGACCTACATGGCGCGGCAGCAGATACACCGACACAAGCAATACAGTAGTGTAGCACAGTACACGCAGCAGATGGAGTTACTGTTCAACCGCATCACCGACCTGACCGAAGGCGAAAAAATCCAGGCGTACACCGAACGGTTAAAAATGGAGATTCGGCGGCAGGTGATTGCGGCGAATTACAACAGCTACAGGGACATCGTGCGTGCTGCCGAGCGATACGACGCGCTGACTCGAGGTCAACCCGAAACACGACGCTTCACGCCGAACCGTACATTCGGCACGGAGCGATCGGCACCCCCCACGTTCGCCGAACCGATGGATATCGACAAATACGACGCGAAGCAGCAACCGACAAAATGTGAATTTTGCGGCGCAGCAGGGCATCAGTTTTTGTCGTGCTACAAAATGAAAAAAGCACGTGCGGCACTCCGGGACGGAAACAGTGGAGCACCCCCGAAGTAAAAAAACGGGAATCGCCAGTAGCCGCGGATCGACCTGGCAATCGCGTAAAGATCCGAAAAGCAGGAAAAGGCGACGACGTGGCGACTTCGGAGCGGGCGAAAAAAGGAGAAAATGATGGCGCGAATAAAAAACGTCACGACCGGCCGGCACCAGGGGAAATCGCGGAGGCGAAAGGAGGCTCCGCGAAAAAAGACTCTGCACCGACCGGGAAACTCCAGCCGAACACCCACGAAAGTAAGAATTCGTTAAAAGTATCCTATAAATATACTCTAACGAAGAATATTGCTTCTCGTGGTTTTCAAGCCTTTGAAAAAATCAGGGGAGGTTTAGAGGCTAAGAAAAAGCCTTTAGAAATCATTCAGGTACCTGAGAAGTTGGGCAAAGTACTACGGAGCGTAGAAAAGGGTCGTGCGTTCCGTGGAGTTAATATTCTCTCCCCGCAGCACAGTGTTAAGGCTCCCCGTTGCCCACAGGTGAAGCCTACACAGCTGCCAAGGCTTAGAGGAGGCATCCAGGCTCAGGAGAAAATATACTAGCCTCGGAAAAATCCTCCTACCCCCCAGGTGAAGTTGGAAAGTGCTGAGTCGGGTATAGGAAAAAGGGAAGGTATTAAGCTTGATGTACCCTATGATCCTATTAATGAGACCCTCTTTGGCTACTCAGCGCAGCAGAAACCACTACTCCTCGAGGTGTTATGCAATGGGCGACGCCTCCAGGCACTGGTGGACAGCGGTGCATCTCACTCGGTGTGTGACCGCGGAGCATTGGAGAAAATTGGAGAGAAGGCGGAGGAGACCCAGTTTTCAGCAACCATGGTGGACGGTACGAAACTTCCTATCCACGGCGAAGCATCACTGCAGCTGCATATAGGTGCATTGAGGTGGAAGCCGAAGCTACCAGTCACCAACATCAAAGGGTTAGATTTTATCTTGGGGCGAGATTTTCTGAAGCGGTTCAACCCCGAGATCGATTGGATCAACAGGAAGGCGCGCATCTACAACAACGGGAAGCGGATAGCACTGCGAAGCTGGACGGATACAGGGGATGTACCTGAAACGACACTGGCACGGTTCGAACAGACGGTGAACGAGAGTAACACGGGTTACCTAGCACTGGTCATGGCAGCAGCAGAGGAGGAGAAGCCGAGTTCCGAGCTCCTGTAGCAGTAAAGGAGGTCTTGGAGCAGTACAAAGATATAATGTCCGACGACCTACCTGCAGGCGTACCTCCAGCACGCACCCACGAGCATGAGATCGTGGAGGAACCAGGTGCGAAACCCGTCTCACGTGCACCATACCGACTGAGTCCGACCGAACTAACAGACATGAAGAAACAGATAGAGTATCTACTGGACAGACAACTGATCCGCCCATCCACCTCTCCCTACGGTGCACCAGTTCTCTTCACTCCAAAACCAGACGGCAGCTTACGGATGTGCATCGACTACCGCGCACTGAACAAACAGACAGTTAAAAACAAATACCCCATACCGCGCATCGACGACTTACTGGACCAACTGCATGGTGCAACAGTCTTCTCGAAGCTGGACCTACGGTCGGGTTACTGGCAGATCAAGATGGCGGACAACTCGATCCACAAGACGGCGTTCCGTACTCGATACGGCTCCTACGAATACTTGGTGATGCCGTTCGGACTCTGCAACGCACCAGCGACGTTCCAGGCAGAAATGAACCACATTCTACGGCCCCTGCTGGACGAGTGCGTAATGGTGTACCTGGACGATATCCTCATCTACTCCAAGAACATGAAGGAGCACGTGGAGCATCTGCGGAAGGTGTTCGAGATCCTGCGGACGAATAAGTTCTACGTGAAACTGTCGAAGAGCGACTTCGCACTGAAGAAGGTGCAGTTTCTCGGGCACATGGTGAGTGCCGAGGGCGTACACATGGACCCGCGGAAGATCGAAGCCGTTAAAAAGTGGAAAGTTCCGGAGAACGTGAAGGAGTTGCAGCAGTTCCTAGGCTTCGCCAACTACTACAACAGGTTCGTGCCACAGTACGCTAAGATTGCAGCGCCACTGACCGACCTACTGAAAAAGGATACGCCCTTCAAATGGGATACTCCGCATCAGCAAGCCATGGAACAGCTACAGACAGCACTGACCACGGCCCCAGTACTCATCCTACCAGACCCCGAGAAGGACTACGTAGTTGAAGCAGACGCTAGTGACCAAGCAGTCGGAGCAGTACTGATGCAGGATCACGGGAACGGTTTACAGCCTATCGCCTACCTCAGTAAGAAACTGCACGGAGCAGAACTGAACTACCCCATCCACGACAAGGAAGCCCTAGCTATAGTCGTAGCCTTCAAGGCGTGGAGGTGTTACCTTGAGGGAGCCAAGACCACAGTCTATACTGACCACTGCAGCCTCAAATACCTGAAGTCGCAGCCTACGCTCTCACGACGACAGGTACGGTGGGTGGATTTCTTGGAGACCCACTTCCACTACGACATCATCTACAAACCCGGGCTACACAACAAAGCAGACGCGTTGAGCCGCCCAGGTCATGTAGCAGGCATCCAACTCGATGGGATGAACCCTCTGCTCAGGGGTCTATTCCAACATGGGTACTCCGTGGACGGCGAGATAGCAACGGCAGAGAAACAGAAGCTGTTACAATGGGAGAAAGACCTAGCGGTAAGGAAGGGTTCAGGAAAGATTTGGGTACCGAATTACGCCCCGCTACGGCAGATCCTCTTGGAGGAGTTTCACGACGTACCATACGCGGGACATTTCGGGAGCAACAAGACGTTAGCGGGAATAGCGAAGTATTACTACTGGCCTCGGATGGCAGCAGATGTGCAGCAGTTCGCCACCTCCTGCGACACGTGCCAGCGGATGAAGAGCAGCAAGCAGAAGAAAGCAGGGTTACTCCAGCCTCTACCCGTACCGGAGCAGCCATGGCAGGTCGTTAGTCTCGACTTCATCACAGGACTTCCCTCGACCTCACGGGGACATGATTCCATCCTTGTAGTCATCGATAATTTCTCCAAAATGGGGCACTTCATACCGACCAACGCCACCGCCACAGCAGAAGAAACTGCTCGCCTCTTCTTCGACCGCATCATCACCATCCACGGCATCCCCGCTACACTCATCTCCGACAGAGATCCCAAATTCACGAGTAAGTTCTGGAAGGAACTCATGGGATTATTGGGGACTAAACTTGCGATGTCTTCAGCATACCACCCACAGATTGACGGACAGACAGAGCGACTCAATCAAGTGGTTGAACAGTTACTGCGCACAGCTTGCAAGGACGACGTCAGCCACTGGGACACACAGTTACCAACCCTAGAGTTCGCTTACAACAACGCGTCACATGCGGCCACAGGGAAAACTCCTTTCTTCCTGTGTTACGGACGGGAACCACTCACACCACAGCAGCCAACCACACCAGCACACGTCCAAGCCGCACATGACTTCGTCACCACCATGCAGCAGCTATGGGAGAAGACTCAGCGACGTCTCACCACGATGCAGACCTCCCAGAAGCAGTATGCCGATCGTCAGCGACGTGATCACTCAGTAGCAGTCGGAGATCAGGTGCTTCTTGACACGCGCAACTTGAACCTGTCTCACCTCCCATCCAAACTCCGGCCTCGCTTCTGTGGTCCTTTTCTCGTTGAGGCACAGGTGACACCAGTTACATTCCGCTTGCGCTTACCAGATACATGGAAGCTTCACAACGCTTTCCATGTCCAGCTACTGAAGCCCTACAAGGACCCCGACCAACAGTTCTAGGGACGGCAACTACCGCCACCACCACCTGTTCTCATACAGGATGAGCCCGAGTACGAGATCGAGAGCGTTCTCACTCATCGGCGACGCGGTGGCAAGACCCTCGAGTTCCTGATACACTGGAAGGGATACGACCCCACTGAGGACAGTTGGGTTGCAGAAGCTGATATGGGCAACGCACGCCGTGCTCTCAAGGACTATCTTGTCAAGCAGGGTGTATCTCACGCCACCCAGCTTTGAGGGGGGGACGTGTGAGAGTACGACGGCTTATGCCAGCTATGCTTGCTTGCCTTTACTTTATTATGCTATTTCTAGCATAGGATAATTATATGCATGCATGAATTGCTTGATTTCCTAGGCTAGGTGCTTTCCTATAATTTATTATAGTTATAGCACCGAGCTAGGTTGCGTGCACCGAATTCTGGCTTTTCGGTTGCCACCGAATTGCCTTCTACCAAATTCGGGAAGGATCTGTTCGGGACGCTTCGCGACCCGCGGAACCTTCGCGTAACACCTGGTTACGGGGCCTTGTGTCGAGCCTATATATAGCCTCGTGTTGTACCCAGGTGATCATTCAATTCACATTCTCTTTTCTGAGCTCGATCCTAGATCCTCACACCATGGCCACATGAACGGGTAAGCTGGCCGCACCGGCAGTGCCCGTAGTAGGCGGAGGCGGGTTCGGCAGCGACAAGGTCGCCTGGGCAGTACCCGATTTGGTCGGCGCTGCTGTCGTCGTCGACACGATCACCGATGTGGCCTCGACCGCGCCGCTAGGTAGGACGTTTGTCGCTCGCTGCTCGGGGCGGAAAGACTGGTCGACCAGCTGTGATGTGACGCCACCTGGTCTCGCGCTACTGGCACTCGCCGGACTCGTCGCGGTATGGGGATGCTGGCCCGCCCCGGCCTGCTGGACATGCTGTCCGACCACCGCTGCTGGGCGCAAGAGCTCGTCGACCAGCGCCGAGACGCCACCCGGTCGCGCGTCTTGTGCAGTCGCAGGACTCGTCGCGGTGTGGGGATGCTGGCCCGCCGCGGCCTGCTCGACATGCTATCCGACCACCGCTGCTGGGCGCAAGAGCTCGTCGACCAGCGCCGAGACGCCACCCGGTCACGCATCTTGTGCAGTCGCAGGACTCGTCGCGGTGTGGGGATGCTGGCCCGCCATGGCGTGCTCGACATGCTGTCCGACCACCGCTGCTGGGCGCAAGAGCTCGTCGACCAGCGCCGTCACGCCACCCAGTCGGGCGTCTTGTGCGGTCGCCGGACTCGTTGTGGTGGGGAGATGCTGGCCCGCCCCGGCATGCCAGACCTGCTGTTCGACCACCGCTGCTGAGCGCAAGAGCTCGTCGACCAGCGCCGAGACGCCACCCGGTCGCGCGTCTTGTGCGGTCGCCGTGCTCGTCGACAGGTGAAGATGCTGGCCCGCACCGGGCGGCCCGCCCTGCTGTCTGACCACCGCTGCGGGGCGCAGGAGGTCGCCGGTCAGCTGCGCTGTGACGCCGGTCGGTCGCGCAGTCGGCATACTCGTCGAGGGTTGAACATGCTGGCCTGCAACGGGCTCCCCGCGCGGCTGGCCAACCACCGCTGCGAGGTGCAGGTCGTCGGCCATCTGGGCCGTACCGCCGCTCGGTCGAGCGCCTTGTGCAGTCGCCGGACTGGCCTCGGGCTGTGGATGCTGGTCCGCCAATGGCTGCCAGCCCTGCTTCGCGACCACGGATGCCTCTCCCATGAGCTCGTCGGCAAGATTCGCCTGGTCGCAGCTCGGTGGCGCGTCGTGTGCGCTCGGCGGATCGGTCGGGGCCTGTGGTTGCTTGTCCCCCACGGGCTGCCCACCGGTCTTCCCGACCACCGAAGCTGGATCCTGGAGCGCGAAGTCGACCTGTCGAAAATCGGCACTCGGTCGCGCACCAAGTCCCTCTTTCAGCAAGTCTTGGACGCCCGGGATACGAATATACGGAGCGGTGGGAGGATCCACGCCCACACCGCGTTTCACCGCTGGTCCTCTACTTCGCTTATTGCTGCTGGTCTGGTCGCCAGTCACGGATTTTTCGTCGGCGACCCTTTTCCCCGACTGCCTTTGCGCCGGCCCATGCTCCTCGGCGGTTGCGCGACCGCCGTGCATCACCGACGCGAGAGCAGTTGGGAGGAGGCTAAACCCGGCGGTACCAAGGCCCTGTTGGGTCGCGGAGGTGACCGCCTTCACCAGGTCGTCCCTAAGCTCTTGGACGACTTTCGCAGTCACGGCATCGGCGATCCCCTGCGCCTCGCTCTCCATGACGGCCTTCACCTCAGAAGACACGGCGGTTTTGATCTTCTTGCCAAGAGCATCTGCCACACCTCGCAACAGCAGGACGTCGTCCTCCCGTCGCCTACCCTGCGCAGCAGTAGCCGTCAAGTGCAGGGCCTGCACGGTGGGCAGCCACTGCGCGTTCATGAATTCTAGGGTGGAGCCGCGATAGCTCACCGCCTCCTGCACGACCGCCCTCATAGCGTCCACCGCCGTTTGGAGGCTCCTCCCCGACGTCTGCTCGTGAGAGGTCACGCTCTCGGCGACCGTCGAGAGCTTGTTCACGGTCGCGGTGACCACGCCGAAAAGCGCGTCAATCCGGCCCGTCTAGTCCTCCAGCCTCTTTTCCGCCACCAGCTTCTCCTCCCTCAGCTTCTTGTTCTCCCTCTCCGCCGCCTTCAGACGCTCAACAGCTGCCTTTGACGCAATCCTAGTCGGGGTCGAGCCACCGCTGCCCCGCGCCTTCTTGCCCGACTTGGGTCCGCTGCCGCCGCTCTTATCCGCAACCTTCTCACCGGCGAACTGTACTGCCTCCTCTTCGCCGGTGACAACCACGGCGTCCTCCTCACGCTCCTCGTCCTCCTCCTCCTCGTCCGAGCCACCGTCCTGCTCCCTGCCCCCTCCCCGTCCTCCCTCTCGTGCTCCTCCTCGCCGCCATCTGTGGGTCCGTGCCCGCCAGAGTGCGACCCCGCCGCACCCTCCTCGGCCTCCCCACCCAGAGAGATGCCGGTTCCGACGCCACGACCCACGGTCGACGCCGCCTCCCGTGAGTTCAACGCGGCCTTCTCCACGTGGTGCACCAGCTCCAGTCGGAGCGCCTTCAAGCCGACCAGCTTCAGGTTCTCGACGATGAACGGATCGTAGCTGCGATGCACGTCGTCCAGATGCTCCAACGACCACGCTAACGCGTTGACCGCCAGCAGCCCCGTGCCGGCGACCTCCTGCCTGAGGATGTTGGGCAATTTCTGCATCAAATCCCAAGCACATGGCGACGACGACAAGGGTGAGTCGACGCCTCGACGACGATAGCCCAGGCGACAAGGCGACATCGACGTCGGAAACTCATATCACGGATGGGGGCGGCAAGACTCTCCAGTCGTTCGGAGAGGACTTCGGCGGAAGGAGGCTTAGCCGTCCCCTCCCTTCCCTCACGGTTCAACTCCGCCTTCACGCATTCGCCGAAAAACCTGCGCTACGAGACGGAAAAGAGCCATCAGACAAGGCGGCATAAACGCCGTTAGGGAGCAGCGCGACTAGCCGGCGACGTTGTTCCACCTCAAAACGTTGGCCGCCTCCTCCTCGTGCCGCTTGGAGGAGGTCTTGGGGTCGAGGTGGCGGTAGAAGGTCTCGATCTCCTCCTCATCAGGCAAAAGCAGGTCGCCAGGGCGCACAACAAGTAGGACGCTGCAGTGCCTACCGGGAAGAGGTCCGCCCCTGCCCACACAAGCGCGACGGAGACATTCAGGGTTCTGTCCGGAAACAACAAGCAACGCGGTCGGCGAGGATCAAACCTCACGGGCGCGGAACACTTACCCGGTGCACAGGGGGATGGCGAGGGATTCGAAGCCGAAGGCCGACCCGAAAACCAGATAGTCCGGCTTCGACGCCGTCCTGGCGGCGCGAAGACTCGCACCGCGGATCAGGGCCATCCTGTCGGCTTTTCCGAGGCGATCGAGCTCGTACCTGGGACAAGCAGGGGCGAAAAGGCGGGAGCGAAACACTTGCGCGGTGAGCTACAATCCATGCCGGGCGCCTGGGTAAAGTGCCGACAGCAAGACAAGCCGACTCGGACGAAGGTTTCGCACGACGGCGACGTCTCCGGCAGCAGGACAGACGTCACCGACGTAGGGCCCATGGTCGAGGACAAGCAAACTAGTTAATAAGACGACGTAGCGCCACGACGTCCATCGCGGACGGACATCGTCGACCACGCGGGAAGCCGACAAGGCCAGCGTCGACCTAGAAAGGACGCCGACGGAAACGCGCTGAACCCTAAATAACTAACAAGGCGACCTAGGGATGCGCGCTCACGCGAGGCCGAGGTCGAAGCAAGGTTATGTGAACTCGGCCTTCTCGTCGCGAAGGACTTCGTAGTCCTTCATCTCGAGCGTCACCATGTACCCAGCTATGCCCACTGGCACTTGGAGGGGGAATTCGGTCGCAGGCAGTACTATCCTACTGGTCGCCATGCTAACACCACGGTATCTCGAAAGGAAAGGGGAGGAGCGCGGAGAGCTAACAGGGAGGCAGAGGAAATCGGCAAGTGGAAGTTGGAAAGGAGAAATGACGGATGGAGTCGGACCCCCCATCAACATATGGGCGTGGGCCGTCGGTCGCCCAGCCTGCAGCTCGGGGACGAGGCAGGTGGTGGCCGGGGGCGAGCCTCCGGCATCGGCCCGAACCGGGTCTGCCCTCGAGGGCGGGGTTCGGAGGGGGAGAGGTGGGTGGTTTGTGTGGGCCGTGCATGGGGGTGGTCGGGGTGGCGAGGGCGAGCCACGTGTCCCCTCCCGAGGGGCCAGCGATGCTGACGATAGTGGGGTCGGGCCCTTTGAATTTCGCATCCAACCCGCCTGCCCGGCGAGGGCAGCCCGAGAGGGTTACTAGGGCCTCGCGGGCAACGGGAAGCAAATGTCCGCCTCCGTGAAGGGGTTACTAGGCCCCTCATCGCTCGCGCGCGAGTTTGCCACCCCTCGGTTGCAACGTGGGGTTCTGTAGGAATTCGGGGTGGGGGGCCGGGGTGGGGGGCGTGGGTAGAGCCCCGCCCCGTGCCAGCCTGGCGGGGGATTCACGCGAAGGAGTTGGCCGTCCTGACGCTCGGTCGACCGTCACCCCCCTGCGTCGTCCCAGGCAAAACGGGTGCGTCACCCCGAATTCCGATGAGCGATTCAACTCAATTTGAACCACACTTTGCTCAAGAATCGGATAGTATAGTGTTACAAAATATACAATTGAAAACATAGTTGTTTACTAAATTTTATAAACTACTTATAAAAAAGACATTCAATTGTTCTATATTCACCCGTAGTTTAGCAATGAAATAATAAACTAGCACATTATTTCATAATCAAGAAGTAACTAGACTTGCTATATTCATTAATACATGAAAGTTAAACGTGGTGCTATATAAATACATTAAGTTGTTTGTCCTCTTGTTTTGTGAAATATGAATGTGACAATTACGCAACCCATTCGACGTTAACGTCGAATCTTGTTACTGGTTCATCTGATGTCGTGCACATCTTGTTTAATTTCGTCTGATTCTTAAAACCAGGGTCGCAAGTAAGAGATTTTGCCATCAATTGCAAAACATTTGAGACTTGCGTTACCTTGTGTTTGTAGGCGAGTTGGATTGGTTGGCTAGGGAAGTTGGCGTGCGACACTCCCCCTATTTTGCCTCAGCACCAATTGCAAAACAAATTTCAGGTACATGAGACTCTCGACAATTCTTGACATTTCACTGGCACTGTAGCTTCGGCTCCGAACCTGTTTCCATACCTAGAAGGTTTGGAACACAGCAAGCGATTTAGTTCCCTTCGCATCCCTCGCTGCACCCCTTTTCGTTTTTTAGGGCTCGTCAACCAATGGGAAACGGGTGTTTCCCATCAACTGCAAAACAAATGATCTACATGAGACCCTGGTTTTAAGAGAAGCTTTTTTTATTCATCTGATTTCTCAGACAGCCTTATACAGTTTGTCTGAGACTGCAGATATCGAGTCTTTTTCGTCTGAAGGCAAAACTCTCAAAAGATGTCTGCACAAGCCTAGCAGAAGCAGGAGACCATATTCGAACCGGAAACCTCGTTCTTCACAATTCCCTATTCTACTGGCTGGACCATTAGGGCTGGTACCTGACTTGCCTATTTATATTTTAATATTATATTGCCTGCTAGACAATGTTGCTTTGTTTACCCTAATATTATATTACGCTAAGTCTGCAAGATTAGTAATCCTGTTGTACTAGATATGATTGTACTGTAAACAGATTGTGGATTGGGAAGTTGCTTTGTTTACCCTAATTACCGTCATTGCCCGGATAGTAAATGGTTCGTGCATTTTTTTTGCAAACAAATCGTTTCTCATGCCAATGTTTGCATCCACCCTCAGGAAATCACATACATATCACATCCATATACTGTACTCCGGTAGCTTGTTCCATTTCTGCACCATTACTGAACAGTACTACCAAACTTAGGCTGGAGCTACCACAGTACGGTACTCTGGTGGAGGTTGTAGTGCCTTTTGAGGCGCCTCAAAAGTCTACCACAGTACGGTACTCTGGTGGAGGTTGTACGGTAGCGTTGATGGTTTGTGAACGGTACGGTAAATCATCAAGAGTGCATTCGCAAGGCTTGTGCTGTACACATGGAGGGAGGGAAGTGTCAAAAATATAACGTAGGAATCATGGACTAGTAGGGAAGAATGAGTACAAGTACTAGGAATGACCTAAAGTGCTGTACTCCTTGGAGTATGCCCAGGCTGTAGCCTAGAGATTAGAAATGCAATTTGACAGACCCCCATAGGCAAAGTGGGGGATAGCAAACACAAAGGACAGTTTCACAAACCAGTCAAACAAGAGAACAAAGCAAAGCAAAGCTCAGGGTGGATCTCAAGATCAGCACGTTGTCAGAGGTCCACTGGTGATCCCCGATTGATCCTAGGGAAGGGTTACAGACATGTTCGTCTGGGGGGTTATGGGCGCACTGACCCGCTACTTAACAAGCCCTTTATCCCAGTGGTTAGTGGCTGTGACTCTGACATGGTATCAGAGCGAAGGTCTCGGGTTCGAATCCCAGTGTGTGCACTTCGAGCATCCCAGTGCGGAGGGGTGTCAGAGGTCCACTGGTGATCCTCGATTGATACTAAGGAAGGGATACGAGCATGTTGGCTTGGGGGGTTATGAGCGCACTGACCCGCTACTTAACAAGCCCTTTTATCCCAGTGGTTAGTGGCTGGGATTCTGACACACGCAGTATGAGCACAAGCAAGTGGCCACAACGTCAGTTCACATGCAGAGTTATAAAAGCACAAGCAGTACACTACAGTAATAATTCATAATGAACAAATAAGGTTGCAAAAAGCTGTTGATAATTTATTGCTTCACTCTAATAAAGATGAAAGAAAAGTAACACCAAAAGCTTAGCTGAAATGTTAGAAGGAAAAGAGAGACTAAGAAGATATTATTTAGGTAAAAGAGTTGATTATTCAGCAAGAGCCGTAATAGTACCCAATTCTAGACTAACTTTAAATGAAGTAAGAATTACAATCAAAATGTTATTTGTTCTATACGAACATTCATATTAGGGAATCTTCTTAAAAAGAAAACAATTTCTACTATTGCCGAGGGCGAAACTCTTATATCAGAAGAAAACCCTATAATTGTTACTGAACTTTAAGAAGAAATTATTCCTTATCATCCTTTGATAATAAATAGAGCGCCTCATTTACATAGACAAAGTTTAATTTCAGCTTATCCTATACCCGTTAAAGAAAACGTAATTAAATTACATCCTTCACTTATTACTGGATTAAATGCTGTGTATGTCACAGTACAAGACAATGTCAAGCAACCAGCAGGTGAGGCAGAGTAGGCACAAGGCATGGAGTAGTGCAGAAACGCTGAGATCACCTGGCTCAAGGGCCTTGGTGAAGACACCAGCAGTGTTGGCCCAAGAGGCGGCGTAAGCAAGGCGCAGTTGACTACGATGCTGCAGCTCCCGAGCAAGAAAGTAACGAAGAGCAATGTGCTTCGTTCTGTGCTCCAGTCTCTGCTCCTGACACAAGGCAATCATGGCCTTGTTGTCGACGTACAGAACTGGAGGAGAACGAGGCCGCTCACCCGAGTAGGTCAGCAGGTAGGTCAGCCAGCGTAACTCCTGTGCAGCCATGGCCCCACCGTAGATCTCGGCCTCACAGCTAGAACCAAGCACAGTATACGAACGAGTGGACCCCCACGAGACAAAACTAGAGTCAAGACTGAAAGAGTAACCCTGTTCCGACCGCTGAGTCGCCTGGTCGTCGGCCCAAGAAGCGTCGGAGTGTCCTGTGAGTACCACTGAACCCCGTCCTCCAAGGACGAGCCCCATGCCTGAAGTACTGCACAAGTAACGCAGTACCCTCTGCGCAGGTGTCCAGTGCTCCTTCCTGTGTCGCCTGGGCGCGACGAAGCGAGCAAGGATGCTGAGAGGGTACACGACGTCAGGTCGTGTGCACGTCATCAGGTACATGAGGCTGTTAGAATTAGGAACTAGGTGCTAGTAACTTGGTAGAAAGAAGTAATGGACTAGGTCAAGGGGAAGGGGTACAAGAGTGTCGAGAAAGATGGGATACCCTCTAAGGAGAACCCCTAGATAGCCTAGAAAGTCAGAAACATATAATGTTTTGACACGCCCCCATAGGTGAAGTACAGGATAGCTAGACTGTGAAGATTGGAACGAGAATGATTGCATTGAGCAGCATGAGGAGTACAAGTACCAAACCCTAAAGTGTTGTACCCCATATAAGCTACCCCACTACAGCCTACACAGACTATAGCATATGAGTTTGACACACCCCCATAGGCAAAGTGGGGGAGAACAAGGGGTCACAAGACCAGCCAAGCAAAGCACAGCAAGCTCAGGGTGGATCACAACGTCACCACACATTCTGAGCA